TATGTGCATGTGGAGGCCAGAGGTGTCTATCATCTCTGATCTCCACCATATATTTTGAGATAAGAGCTCTCACTAAGTTGTTAGGGCTTGACTACCAGTCCCCAGGATCGTCCTGTCTCTGTCCCCCAGTGCAGGGGTTACAGATGTACTTCACCATGCCCCTGGGTGCTGGGGATCTGAACTCAGTTCCTCATGCTCATGCAGAAAGCATTTTACCCACTGAGCCTTCCCTGCAGCCCCAGTCACTACCTTTTGACTGTTCCAATCTAATTTCCAAAGCCCAGTTTGCACAACCCACCCTGGGTTCTAGTCATGGACTTCCTGGGAGACTTTGGGCTGGAAGTTGTTCCCATTGTCCACTCCAGTTTACCAAGTACTAACCAGTGAGTGAGAACGACAGCAAGTGGGGAAAGCCCACAGAATAAGTGACTTTTAGATAAAATCAAATTAGTGTTTATTGGATTTTCATGTCCCTTTCCCCACAGTTCTGCTAAGGGAGGGATGAAAGTTAGATTTCAATAATTGTTTCTCAACTGTCACAGGCCAGAGAAACTTAAAGCAGCTAAAAAGAGACCAGAACCTGGCTGGGGCTAAGGTGGCCTCAAGGCAAAGACAGCAGGACAGTAGGGCACTGAACAGGCTGTCCCATACCTCCACAGGGGGTTGATCCTGAGAGACCCCCAGAGCCCTGGCCCGCCCCTCTCCCAGATTCCCATCAGCAAAGGCTGTCTGGGAAGAATGCAGGTCAGGAGCCTGAGTGACCTTTCACACCTCAGACAAGCTAAGTTTGTTTTCTCCTTTTCTGTCCAGCCCTCAGCAGGAGGGAGAGGGAAATGGGATGGGCCTTGTCGAACTTTCTCTGGCTACAATACCCTAGAGGAGCTGAAGTGGAGGGAGTAAAGGATCTATTTATTTTGGCTCAGGAGGGACAATGTAAGCAGATGGTCTTTGATGGGATTAACGGCGTAATCTCTAAGACCCTGGTAAATTGGAAAATGATCCATTATATTCCAGAACCTTTGGCGGCTTCAGCTCCTGGGGAGGGAGGGGCAGGGCTGAGGGGCACCTTGTTAGAAAGGACCCCCTCTGGGAGCAGTGGAATCCCACTCACCCAGAGAAATTGGAAAGACGTTTGTTAGCTGCTGCCTCTAAGACACCTCACTCCTCCTGGGAGCACAGAAATAAGAACTCTCCCCTGGTCCTCCCAGCCTCCCTTTCCCTCTTCTGGGCAGTACTCATGCCAAACCCTTGCATCTGAGGGTGGGGGGGAGATGAGGGGGTGCTCTAAGGAAATAATGTCACCAAGTCCCTAGCCTTGGAAAGGAAGAAAATTCTTAGAATTTGAATTTTGTCCACTTCAAGATCTCCATTGACCACACACACACACACACACACACACACACACACACACACCTCCAACACCATACGGCAGGCCATCTCCTCCTCTTCCACAGTTAAAGGACTTCAGCGCAGACCCAAGGGGAAAGGCCTTCTGAGGCATGGGATTTGGAAAGTGGAAGACACAGGAATGGTGAGGCAAACTGCCCTAGCCTGGGGCCTCTCCCCTCCCTACAGAGGTCTGGGCTGAATGCAGCTCCTGTCCTTGGTAGTAGGATTGTGGGTGCTGATAGAGACTGGCTCACACAAGTTAATTGTGGCCCCATTTCACATGACACTTTGTAGTTTATATAGAAACTTAAATGTACAGAATTCCAAATGCGGAAGCTTTGGAACTGAAACAACTTCCCTTTCCCGGCTTTTTCCTTCTCAGTTCTGTTATCTTTCTCCTGCCCTTGTGTCTTGTAGCTCTCCCACTTCCCTTCACTTTAACTTTGTCTCACTAATACATCAGCAGCATACTATGAACAGTGCACAGTGCACGTTTATTTTATGTGTTTATAATCTGTATGCATGGGATCATGTTATTCATCTCATTCAATTTTTAAAATTTTTTATTATTTTTATTTTACGTGTATGCGTGTATTGCCTGCATGTAGGTAAGTGCAATGCCCATGGAGGTCAGAAGAGGCTGTCAGATCCCCTAGGACTGGAGTTACAGACAGTTGTTAGCTGCCATGTGGGTGCTGGGATTCGAACCTGCGTCTTCTGCAAGAACAACCAGTGTTCTTAACCGCTGAGCCATCTCTCCAGCTCCTATCTCATTCAATTTTTAACCCTTTCATTAAACATTACACTATATTCATATTGATAAATAGAAACCTAATGTTTCCTTTATAGTACAACATCTTATTTATTCATTTCAGCATTTTAAGTCATTCCCAAACTTTATTTATTCTGTTTTGTTTATGACAAGATCTCCCTGTGTAGTACTGGCTATAGACCAGGCTGGCCTTGAACTCATGAGTTACTCTCATGTCTCTGTCTCCCTAGTCCTGGAAATATAGGCATACACCACTGTGGGCTGACACTTCCCAATTTTATTGTTACAACTGCTTTAGAACAGCTATCTGATTGAATTTAATTGCATTTACAGATTTAACTTTGAATATTAAAAACCAGAGCATGGAGCTAAGTTCATGCCTGGCCTGTAAAAACCAGAGCATGGAGATAGGTTCATGCCTGGCCTGTAATCCCATCATTCCAGAGGTAGAGGCAAGAGAATCAGGAGTTCAAGGACAACCTTGGCTACACACATAAGGAGTTTAAGGTCTGGGCTACAGGAGAGCCTATCACAAAAAAAAAAAAAAAACCAAAAGATAAAAAGAAAACCCAAGTCAGGTGTAATCCCAGTACTCAGGAGGCAGAGGCAGGTAGCTCTCTGTGAGATCTAGGCCAGCCTGGTCTACATAACAAGTTCCAGGCCATCTGGGGCTACAGGGAGACCCTGTCTCAAAACAAAAAGAAAAAGAAAAAAAATCCAAAGCACAACCAAAATATGTATTTTCCCCATATGTAGTATCTTCACAATTCTCTGAAAAATATACTCACAAATAAAGAATGGCTAGGAGTATAGCCTAGTGGTAGAATGCTTGCCTACCATGCACAAGGCCCTAGGTTCAATAGCCAAGCCACAAAAAGGGAAAGGAAGGAAGGAAGGAAGGAAGGAAGGAAGGAAGGAAGGAAGGAAGGAAGGGAAGGAAGGGAAGGGAAGGAGGGGGGAGGGAGGAAGGAAGAAGGAAAGAAAAGAAAAAGAAATACAAATTATTAAACCGGACATGGTGGCACACACCTACAATCCCAACAGCTGGGAGACTGAAAGAGGAGGATTGCTGTGTTCAAGGCTAGTGAGGACAACATAGCAAAACTCTGTCTCAAAATAATAATAATAATAATAATAATAATAGACAAGCAGGAAGACTATACAAACTCCTCTTTCCAAGTAAAAAATACATTACTCTGGGCTGGGAATGTGGCTCAGAATTAGTGCTTGCCTAGAAGCACCAGAGGTGAAGAAAACCAGAGAAATTCCAGCGATGAAATGTGTTAACTCTAAGAGATGCACCAGGCTCTGGAAGGAATCTGAGTCATACTGCATTTTATTTCAGGCTATTTCAATGCACTGTGGGATGATTTATTTATTTATATTTATTTATTATTTTTTAAGAGCAACAGTAGTTGTATATCTATGTTTGAGGTAAGTTGACATGGGATTCGGAAACTAATTACACTGGGAAGGCAAGAGTGGAGGGGCAGCAAGGGGCAGTGACTCACCCCACCCTACACACTCTGAATCCATAAAGGAAAATCGGAAGGTCTGCACCCCCTTCCTGCATAGGAAAAACTACTGTCGGAGTGTGAGATGAGCCAGGCCGGCAAGCATCTCGTGTCTGTGCTCGCGCCACTCAGGGAAGCAGCTTTCTTCCCTCCGTTTTATCAGCTTAGAAGAGGTTTGGAGAGCTTAATCAGCCTGTGACAAGGTTACACTGCAGGCTGCACCAGATTATACCCTTCCCACCTGCCCGGGCCCTAAGTTGCCAGAGCTACCCTGACTGGATATTCGCCCTTGCCAGGGGCCCTGCAGGGGAGCCAGGGACTGCGGCTACCCCCGGGCTCTTGACAGAAACCTGGGCTCCTCGCGTCCCACTCCCACTGCGGCCTTCTTTCTCGGGCTGGCCCACACCCACCCACACTAATATTCTTCGTATTACTGATGAGGTTCGGAACGTTCTAGGATTCGGTCTACGGACCCTCCAAATCCAGGCCGGTCTTATCGCAAAGACCTTTTTTCGACTGGAAGGGTTGTGGGAACTTCAGCCCCAGACCTTCTAGGGAGAGTGAGGAGCCGGCCACGGAAAAGGAACCCGAGCGGGCAAAGAGGCTGGGCAAGGTATTTGCTCAGGTTTGGGGGAATGCAACGATTTCCCTAACGCTGGAGTCGGCAGGGCTTATTAAGTGGGGGTCCCAGACTCGGCCAGTCTCTCTGTGGCGGTGATTCCAGAAGCTGCGGGCCGGGGCTGGAAGAGGTGGGCTCGCTGGTCCCTGTCCAAGGAGGCCCGGGTGCCCTGGGGCGCTGCATCTTCCCAGGGCGCCCAGTCCCCTGCCCGCCCTGCCTGGGAGACCCACTGCCTGGCAAGTGCCTAAATCTTTGGATTCTGGCCCTATCTACCGCTGGCTGCAAAACGTCCGGGGCAGAATTGGGCATCTTAGGACAAACAGAGAGGCCACGCGTGGGGGGGGGACCTCGGTGCCTTGTGCCCTTCCCGGCCCCTCTACTTTCGAGGCGCTCGGGTCCCCAGCCCCATTTCTCCGCTGGCCGCGCTTCCCTCTCTCGGGCAACTCCGGTAGCGCGGACGGTTTCGGACTCGGTTGCCTCTGGAGCCCCTGGGAGCGCTGCGACCCAAGGGAGGGCTGCGACCCCTCGGATTCCTTTCCCGAGCGCGCCCCTCTGCGGAGGTGGGGTGACGATGGCTCTCAGGCTAGGCAGCTCCGGGAGTCGTGGCTGGAGGAAGGCGGGCACGCTTCGTTGGAGCCGGGTCTGGAGAATGCGGCGAGCGAGCAGCTGGCTGGTGGAATTTGTCGCCCGCGCCCAGTCGAGGGGCCCTTCAGCTCTCGAGGTTGGTTAATTGCGCCTTCCCTGCCATGCCGTCTGCCTCCTTGCCTTCCCTATAGTTTACTTTCAAACCCTTTCGTGTCTTTAGTATTCCTTTTGGCTTCATTTATCATTAATTTTTTTTTAATGTTTTGAGACAGGGTCTCACTATGTAGGCCAGGCTGACCTAGAACTCACAGAGACCCGCCTGCCTCTGCCTCCCAGGTGCGGGAATTAAAAGGCATGCGCCACCAGACCACAGCTGGGTTGTAGCTCTTTTGTCTGAATGTTTTGTTTCTTTCCAAGTGGACTTTGTGTTTCTTATGTTTCCAATACTCTCTCCTTTTTCTGCTCCCTTCTGACTCTTTCATCATCTCTCCTCCCCAGGACCCCGGCAGCAGGGGGTGGGTCTCGAGGAGAGCCTTGTAATGTGGCACCTTCAGTTAGTGGTCAGGGGTAGCAGGCCAGCAGGCCAGCGAGTGCCCACTCCTTCATCCTCCTTCATCTCGCACTAGCACCCTGAGTACCTGAGCACCAACCCAGTGATGGACTTTGCAGAAGCCAGCAGGAGGGCCTAGGTCAAGATAGGGCTGAGGGCTGCTGCTGTGGCACTCTCCCCATACCGAGTCACCAACTAGCTCCACCACCAAGACAAGGGAGTGTGCAAAAAGCACATGCACACCAAGATCAGCATATGCTACACGATGCCCAAAGCTATATACATGTATAGCTATATACATGTATAGAATGTGGATTATACACTCACATATGCCAATCAGCATCACAGGCTCCTAGCACTGCAAATAGAAGTGGGGCACAGACAGGTAAGCACCCATCAGTGAGGCATGTTTCAATGTTAACTCAGTGGTCACAGTGTCTCTGGACGAAGAACCTGTTGGTGGGAAGGGACCTGCCTATACCAACCAGTGGACAGAGCACCCACATATCCACCTCTGCTGAGAATGGGACTGAGGCTGCTGTGTGAGCTATACAAACCAGTCTGCACTAAGAAAGCAAGCTAACAGGCTGGGTTTATATTCATGAGCCTAGATGGCTGCCTGAGGTCCTCCAGGATTCATGCACAGTACCAGCTTTTGGCCAGGGCCCTAAGCAGAGATTTATGTGAAAACAAATGGAGATGTACATGGTTCTAGGAATAAAAGTAACATTTACAAATATATAGGTCCCATACAGGCAGGGAGATAGTAGAAAACCTCTTTGCAGTTCTTTGGTATTTATATCAAGCTAGCCCTTGCCTCTCTGGCAAGATCTGGTCCTCTTTCCTGGTTGGAAGTGACTGGTACCTTGGGAGCTCTATGGGTTATGCTGGCTCATCAGTGAACCATGTAGACCTGATGCATAACCAAGTCACCCAAGGAGGGCATCTGGGATGCTTTAGGACAGGACTCTGAAGTGAAAGACTGTCTGAGCTGCATCTCTGGTTCCAAAGCAGCAGTGAGAGTGGTGGCTAGACATGTCTGACCAATGTGCACAGACTACAGTAAGTAAAAATACAAATCTGGTCAGAGGCATGGGAGAACCTGCTCCACAGAAGAACAGCAGTGTGAGTTAGAGTCTGGTGGGAGAGAAGGTGAGGGTATATTTACTTGCACACACAGAGTTCCAGGGGTTTGGAGCTTAATTATTGCACAGGAGAACTGCTGAGGTGGGAGAGCCCAGCTCATGTGGAGCCAGTGTCTGGGGAAGAGGCATCCCTCTTTTTTCCAAGTAACTCCAGTCAAGTGCAGGAGAATGGTGTGGTGACTCTGCAAAGCTACTCTCCAGTTTCTGGATTGAACCTGGAGGAGGAAGAAGCAGAAGTAACTGTACTGTCTCTCCAGTGTGTGGTGAAGAATTAAAGCTTGGGGCTCTGGGGGCTGGCTGACAGTGTCAACAGTTGCCCTGCCCTTACCTGGGCTTCTGGGGCCCCCAGCACCTTCATCTCACAATCTACACCTTTGTCTTTTCCCATTTCCTTCTGCTTAGTTTTCTATCCTTCCTCCTCTGCCTTTTCAGCTCTTCGCCATGCCACAAAAAAGAGCCACAAAAGAGCCAGTGACTGAGAGCTGGATCTGGGAGTGAAGTCCTATACAGATGTCCAAGGTGGCTGAGGAGTCTTGGGTGACAAATTTGGCATGCACCAGAGGTTTATTTTTGTGTAAAAATCTGTGTGTTGCCCTGAGGTTGTTTCCTTTCTCTATTTTGGCTTCTGCCTCTTTGGATATTCATACGCACTTCTCTCAGTGACATTTCTTCTCCATTATAACACTTCAGGTCCCCAGACCCTGCCCCCACTTCAGTGTTGCCCTCTGGAGTCCGCCTTTGGTAGAAAAAGACTTTTTTAAATATTCATTCATTATTTTTATGTGTATGAGCATTTTACCTGTATGCATGTAAGTACACCTATGTCATGCAAAGCCCACAGAGGCCAGAAGAAGGTGCCAGATTCCCTGGAACTGGAGTTATAGCTAACAGTTGTTAGCTGCCATGTGGGCACTGGGAAATTGAACCCAGGTACTCTGGAAGAACAGCAAGTATTCTTAACCACTGAGTCATCTCTCCAGTCCCAAGTAGGAAAAGGCTTTGTGGAGACCCATATGGATGGACACCAGGAAGAAAAGGGTGGGGGGAGACAGAGGGACAAAGACAGAGAGAGGGGAAATTTGATAACAGATATGGTTACCTCTAGGGATGTCAAAAGGGCTTTGGAGTCAGTTACAAAGAAACACTCCCTTAGCCCCCTTAGGAGTTCAGGGCCCCTTTCTGAGCAGGGTAGAAACAGGATCTGATGAGGCTCTGAATGTAGTCACTGATCCACTGCTATCAAGGGCCAGCAACATCCTACCCTGCAAGGCAGAGGAAGACAAGTCCAATTCAGACCCAGGAGTCCCGGCAACAATAGAGGGAAGTTAATAAAAATTGGACCGGTCCAGTTTTTCATTCTGGGTGGTGTGCAGTCTGAGTAAGAAAAGAATGGAATATGAAAAGGGAGGTAGTAAAGTACCTCCTCAGAGACTGAGGAACCAGGCAGATGTCCCAGGAGAGTCCAGACTGGAGAGCAGAGGATGCTCCCCTACCCCTAAGTGCTAGTGAGAAAGGCAGGTCTAAAGTCAACCCTAGTTCAGCTTTATGCACATGTGTTGGTAACAAAGAATAAAGCCATCAGAAGCTGCTGCTTGGGGGCCATGGCTATCTCCTAGGTGTAGAAGGGAAAAAGGATTGATAAGGGATGGCTCTCTGGAGACTCAGCTTCAGTCTTCAGGCCTGCAGTGGATATGGAAGTACAAGTCCTCCCAGTGACCCACGTGTCCCTGGACAGCCCATCCCTTTGTCTTCAGATATACAGATCCTTATGCTCTCCCCAAATTGGGATCCATTGTGCCTTCCCTTGCTCTGAGTGTGTTTTTTTTTCAACTATGACTCTAGCTCTGTCTTTGCCTTTTCTGGCTTTATTTGTCTCTGTTTTAAGACCATAGCACCCCACCTCTTTGTTCATTCAAAATCTTCATACTGATTGCCTCCTCACTCTTCCCAGAATAACATCGAGTAAAATGAGATAAACCCTCTAGCCGCTGCCATCATTTTGTTTTTCTGTCCTCCACTCACCCCCTCCTCCAGGGCTACAGTTCCCTCTTACAATGTCAGATAATTGCTGGTACACAGCTAGGAGGAACCGGAGCTTATACCAGGGAAGGAGAAAGGGGAGAGAAATAAATCATAATCTGCCTCCACTGAGCGTATATAGGTTACCTGATTTGCATATATGCTAATGATGCTACAATTACCCTGCTGTTCTGGCCTAAGATCAAATTCTATAAATACATAGGATAGCAGAGATAGGCCTAGCAACTCCACCCCCAAAATGATGAAGCGTACATATGTACCCGTGTGCCTTTCCAGTACTTCAGTCTTTTAGCCTGTCTTCCTTACCACATGCTCCCTTCTGAATTCCAGCTCTTCTGGCTTTCAGATACCCCTTCCTGTATTTTAAGACAATTCCAAAGAGGAGGAATGGGAAAACATTCTGAGTTATAGTTCCTTTTTAGCATTAATGTCATTATAAACATGACGGCTATTTTTAGGAAAAGCAAAGGTTTTTCCCAAATTATTGAACTTGTCATTTCCATCTGAATACCCCCACCTCCCATAGGTTCACTTTTTGGGAGACAGGTAGGGAGCTAGGAAGAGGAAGACAGCATCTCTTGGGCCTAATATGATATTCTGGAAAGTACCATCAGAGGGAGAGGAAGTGGCATGGCCTACTCCAGGCCCATCTCTCCTAGAATTCTCCCCAGTCCAGCAGGAACCAGGGCCAGGATGTGCAGGGGGCAGATTTCTGGGCAAGGCAGAAGTGGGGAGGAGGCTTGGAGGAACATAAAAGATGCAATCCACAGCTGTCTGCTTTTAATTATAATTATCCCTTTTCACTTCCTTTCTGGCTAATGAGGGGGGATTTAAATTTTCCCCTTTTCTCTCCCTCCCTCCTTTCCCTGGAATTGAGGGGTGGAGTGAGTTCAGGGTCCTCCTCCCCTTCCTTCTATCCCCTGGTTACTGGGCGAAAGGCAAGCTCCAGAGGGTGGCGATAGTATGAAGAGATTTGTAGGAACAAAAGAAAGACAGGTTTGGATTGCTGGACACGTCCGTCCTAGAGTTGGAGAGGACCCCCCCAGTCCATTGGCACCCCCTCCCATCAACCCCCCAGCTCCCTAGACAAGGAACTCAATGTCTTCCAGTTGGTGAGAAAGGAGCTAACAGGAGCCTGGTCTAGAGAGAAGGGGAGGGGAGGGATGGGGGGGTGCAAAATTAGTCTCAAAGGATCTTTATTTCTGAGCTAGTGAAGCAGATGTAATCAAGGGAGAGTGAAATAATCATAATGGGAGGAAAGGGGGAGGGGAGACAGGCCTAGGACGGAGCTGGGAATTGGGGGGTAGGGAACTTGGAGTGGGGGCAGCTCCCTACTTTGGAATGAAGGGGCACTGTCTCAAGACTCTGACACCTTAACCCTCAGAATCCCTCCTTGGGCTTACGGATGCCTGGGCCAGAAGGTGGCTGGGAAGACAGGGGAAGGCCCCCCTACTCCTTGAAGGAAGAATTGAGGGAGGAGGGCAAGAGATACGAGCCAGCCAGCCGACAGAGACTCAAGTGGCCTCCAGGTCTGTGGGACAAAAGTTGGAGGGAGATTTGTGTATGAGAGAGAAGAGAAAGGGGCCATGGGGAAGGGGGGCTTTGACAATGAACTTGAGACAAACTTCATTAGCATGCAGGCCTGCTGTCTGTCACGTTGAGCTCAGACTGAGTTCCCATGCAGTCCAGGAAGAGTGGGTGGGAGAAAAAGGGAGGGGCTGAGATGGAGGTGAAAGAAAAGAGCCCCGACTATTGTACCATTGGGGCCCCAGCTTCCACCAAACATCAAACCCTAGCCCTGGAAACCAGCCCCCAAACAGCTCTCTCCTCTAAGAACAAGATAATTTATCTCCCACTTTGAGTCTGTGGTCCCACCCCTTCTCTGTCTAGACTTCCAAGAGCTGGTGACCCCTGTCTCTATTCCAGCTCTCAGCCTTCATCTTCCAATTGTCACTTTGTCCTTCACATCTAAGATCTGGATTTGTGACAGTTAGTTGATGGGGCCAGGTGACCGAGGGGAGGTTTGGGAGGAGGGACTGAACACCCCAACCTCAACCAGCAAAGGGTATTTTCCTTGGGTCCCCAAGTCACACAAACGGAATCACCTTCTCAAGCTCAAAAGTAAATTAAAACTCAAGGAGTCTGGGGACAGGAGTACTTGAGTCATTCATTCTCTTTCCCTTGCTACCTTGGGGACAAGGCTGGCCTGGAGGAACAATAGTGTCCTTTAGCCCTTTCTTCCTCCATGGGTTAGAAAGGGTAGCAGAAAACAGTGTGGAGATGGCGAAGACACCCCTCGCCCAAGGTATGAGAAGGGAGGAGGCTCCGTGGGAGCAGGCTGTCATTTCGGTGGTAGTGATGTTCCCAGATAGGGGCAGCACCCCCTCCTTTTGCTGTCTTTCCAGGGACAGCAGCAAGAGAAAGAAAGAGGCGAGCGGAATTCCTGAATGGATAGGCAGATGCTACGTCAGCGGCACCGGAGCCGCATCCTCCACTACACCAGAAGCCGAAGCGAAGAGCTGGGAGAGACCCGCGTGCAGCCGAAGGACCACCCGCTCAGCCTCTCCTCTCCACAGAAGCAGGGTAAGTGACCATTGGGGTCCAGTGGGGAGCCTAGCTCTGGCAGGCATCTGAGCGGAGGCTGGGAAGTGATCCCCTAAAAAAACCCAAACAAAAAAAACGTGTCACCAGAACCGAACCTTCTCATCGAGGCTATACCATAATCACCTAAAGAAAAGGCTGGTAACGATTTGGGGGTCCATAAAAGGGAGGAGACGAGGAGGAGTACGTGGAATTGGCCTCCTGCCCACCGGGTTTCACTCCTGCTTCCTGGGCATCCATCGTGGAGCTGGAGGCAGGGGCCCTGCCCCACACCAAAGGCTCCTGCTCCCCTCCCTCCCCAGTCCCTGAGGGCCCGGAGCTCAGTAAGTTTGTCAATGAGACTGGGGGTGGGGGTGGGGAGGGTCACAGTGCTACTGATCCTATTAATCCGTCCCTCCCTTCACTCCCCCAGACACCAACATCTTAATGCTTGCGTCGGAGGAGAGGCAGGGAGGCAGTGCTGAGAGAGAATGGCAGGAAAGAGAAAAATGGCTCTGAACCTGGACTCCAGACCCTCTTTCCTCACTTACCCTATCCTCCCTGTCCCAGAGACCCGGTTTTCGGGGAAGAAAAAGTCTGAGACAGTTTACCGGTGAGAGGAAAGGGGCCACATTTCCAGGAATGTGGAGACTAGAGCTGGGAAAAATCTGAAAACATTCTACAGAATTTAGATTAATTTAATTCCTCCTCATCCCATTCTCATAAGAGGAAAGAGGCTGAGGGGGTGCTTAAAGGTAAGAAGTGTTGGGATGGATGCTGGGATTGGGAGGGTGTCGGAGTGGAGGTTGGGGAGCCCTGCTCTGGCTTTCTCCACCTTCTCCCTAATGGAGCTATTTTGTCTTTAGGGTAGTTTGTTTTTGTTTTGTTTTTAAGGATGGCCAGAATGCAGGGAGGCACTCTCCTGCCTTTAGTAAGCACCCACACTGTTTTTTTGTTATTGGTGTTTTTTGTTTTGTTTTGTTTTTTGAGACACAGGCTGAACTCTTTCTTTGTGGAATAGCCGGGTCTGGAACAAGCAAACCATTCCTTGTGCTAGGATTCCAGGTTGCTGGGAGCTGCTGAGGCTACCAGTTGTCATGCATGCACACACATGTTCTGTGTACATTGGGCTGGTCCCTTGCCATTGCCCTGGGCACTGTGTGAGTCTGGTGGTGGTAGGGTGGCTGGGCATCAATGGGTGAAGAGAGGGATCCTTGAGCTCTCACTGAATCAGGTAGGAGTAGGAAGTTCTTGCCTGTTCTTGTACCTGTTTTTGGCAGCAGACAAGGGGGAGTTTTCTTTGATAATAGTTTCAGATTGAGACACCCCACCCCATGGGATAGGAGGGCTTGTCCATTTGAGACTGAGCACTCCTGAGTTTATGAAGCACCACTCCGGAGAAATACAGCTTGTAGTAAAGGCTTATTCCTGCTCCCCACCCCACCCCCCATTCCCCTGTATTTATGTTACCTTCCAGTGAAAGAAAGAAAGAAGAAAGAAAGAAAGAAAGAAAGAGAAAGAAAGAAATTAGTGTAGAGTTGAATCTCAGCATTTTTGGAGTTAAGTCACTTCCCCAAGCCCTAATTTAGCCTGACACACACCCAACATCCAACACTAAAATAATAAATAATTATTTTGCATTCACATCTTTTGTGTATATGAAAAGAAGAAAATGTATGGCTATGGGGTGTCTTTTTGGATCCTGAGAGATATATAAATGTAATGACAGAGATGGGTGGGGAAAGCTGGGGAGATAATATGATCAAAATAATCTTATATTATTTTTTAAGCAAAGGTACTGAACTTTTGGTCCTTGTGCCTCAGCCTCCTGAGTGCTGGGATTGCAGGCCTGTATCACTGTGTGGCTATGACTGAAAATATCTTTAATGTACATAGTAGCAATTTACAGTTTATAGTACCATTAGATCTAGGTAGACAGAAATGGCCAGGTCCTTCATCCCATCCATCTCTGTACTCTGGTGGGAATCTGTGAGGAGAGGCTCCTCCAGACCCATTTTAAGTCTTGAGGGTTTGGGGTAGAGATGTGAGGGGGGTGGTGAGGCCAAGGCAGCTAAGTTAGAATCACCTTGTGGAGATCAGGCACATCTGGCCAGCCTGTATGTCTCTGCCTTTCTTTTTTGTGGACCTGGTTGGGAAGCCTTGGGCTCTGGAGATTGAATTGGAGAGCAAAGGAGAGAAACTGGGAGACTGGGCTTTGAGAAGAGGACTGAAGTCTAATGTCTTCCCTCAACAGGAGTGTCCATCAAGAAGCTTCTTTTGTGCAGCCCCCTCATCTGTTTATGGTGTCATCATAGGTGGCAGGCACCTCTGGCCTCAGGGTATTTATTTCCTTCTTTGCTTTGGGTGGTGGTGTGGGTTGGGAAGGAAAAAGGAAGCTAGCTCTGCACCCTCTGGGTTCTCTCCCTCTCTCTCTCTCCACTCTATTTATTGTCTCCAACCTCTGATTTTGTTCTACTCTGTAGTAAGACCAGCAGGGTTAAAGCTAAAGGGAATACAATAGCATAGCCTGGGGACAAAAGATCACCCTTTATCTGGTCTATACATAAAAGAAATGTATTGCCTCCCATACAAGAAACCTTCCCTCTTCTTCCATAGGCTCTAGAGGGCAGAAATGGAAGCCCATTGACTAGGGGGAAGTGGTTTGGTTTGAGAGGGGGACATGGGTGACAGGTGACCAAGGAGAGGAGTGCAGGTTGGGGTGAATGGAGCCTGGGGGAACTTAAATAGCTGAGAGCGCCCTGGGTGAGCCACATACCTTTAAGCATTGGGAGATAGAGCTGCTAGGAGTGCCTGTGGACTTACTATTGCATCTGTCTGAGTTGATGGCTCTGTGTGTGTGTGTGTGTGTCTGTGTGTCTGTGTGTGTGTCTCTCTGTATGTGTGCATGTGCATCAGCACATGAGTGTGCTGCACCCTTACTCAGGCTTGTGATCATAAAGGAGGCCATTTGCTGATGGATAAGGGTCTAGTAAAAAGGACCCTCATGTAGATGAATCAGCTGATCCTCTACCACCTCTGCCACTTTGTTCTCACCTCCCTGCTGCTGTTGGCATTAGGCAAGTAGAACCCAAGCACAGAACAGAGATTCACTGGAAAGGCAGTGCTTCCCCAAGCTGGGAGCTCTTCAGGCTGACCCCCCCCCAGGTGTGGAAAAACCACTACTGTGAAGAGGACCGTAGTGTCCCCAATGACCACCTCTTCTAGGTCTTGTCCCTAGGCACGCTAACCTCATCTGCTCATATGGCTAGACTTTTTTTTACACTACTCACCTTTTCTTTTTTTACTGCCAATTGTCATTTTTATTTGTCACAATACCATAGACGTTTAAATATTTGATAACAGAAGAATAACGTTTAATAGTGGTCACAGTAATGATGAGCTTCTGCTGCAGGCATAAGTGCACCATCAGATATAGTTCTTACCTATATCTTCCAAACCAATTCACTTGGTAAACAAGGAAACTTACGCTTTTACTTAATTACCTGACTACTTCAAGAAAGTACTTTACTGTCAAAGTGTATTTTAGGCACCAAAAGTCTGAGTCCAGAGAGCATAATTGAGGCCATGTTTCTCTCTCTGTGAGTACATAGACAATAGGCAGGCAGCTGCATGGATGGGGGACATTGGCAAAGAATGCAGGCTTCAGATGTGGATATGGCTCAGTGGCATAGTTAATTGCCCAGTATTTGCTACAAATCCAAGTGTGGACTCTTGGGTTTGATCCTTAGGACCCCAAGGAATGAAAGCTCCTGGAATACTTATAGACTCATTTCAGCACAGGGATTTGGGATGCTATTTCCAAATTTCCCTGGAAGGACTCACAGTGAGGTCCACAAACCATCAGATAGTAGATTGCTGTTTTGTGCTGGAGGCAGAGGGTTCTGCTCCATCTGATGCCTTTCTTGGAACACCAAAGCTGGTGGGCCAATCCCATAGGGCACCCAGTGGAGCCACTGTGCTCAGCTGTGAGTGGCCTACAGGCTCACTGCACCCAGTGGGTAGAAGGGTCTTCTCTGACCCCGGTATGGTTTTTTTTTTTTTTTTTTTTTTTTTTTTTTTTTTTTTTTTTTTTTTGTTTTTTTGTTTTTTTTTTTTGTTTTTTTGCATTGCTGCATAATGTTTACCTACTTTGTTTCTTCCTGGACAAAGAATATGCCAGAAATTGTCCTTGTCTTTGAGGAGCTAGCTCATTTGCCATTTTTAAGGGAGTTTTCTTGTGTGAAACTGGAAAAGCATGCCTTAGGCACAGACCAATTCCAGTTAACAGGAGTAAGGGGGAGGGAGCCCTCTGTTGCTCTCAAGGCAAATCATCCCTTTTGTACTGGACAGAAGACCCGTATTTGACTTGCCTGCACTCCTGAAAAGGAGTGGTAGGGTGTTGGCTTGCTCTGTGTACCCAAACAAAAACCAAGTGAAACTTGCTTCCTCAAAACCTGGGCAGAGGTGGGGATTCTATGTGCAGTGGGCCAGGACAGCTTAGACTATCTCCAATTTCCTTTGTGAGATGACTTCTCCTTAACTTTAATCCTGTTAGACTGAACTGCCCCTGAAGAGCTCAGCTTTTCAGTAAGAGGCAGCAAGTATTTAACTATGTGGGGAACATTTTCAGAACTCACCTAAATGTGCCCATTTCTCTCTTGATGTTGATTTTTAATGATGTCTAGTCTGAATTTTGCCATTTGGAGTATGGGGAGAGAGTATACACTGGGCAAGGTAACCTTTGTGTCTTCTCTCCTTCCCAACACAAATACAGTAGTGGCTGAGAGGAAGGGCTTGGCTGGTCTAGCTGCCTCTTGTGTGTCATGGTGTCGTGGTCTGGATAGCTCTAGGGTAAGGGGTGAGCCCTGCAGAGGGCAGGGCATGGTGAAAACCAGTGAGAAGAAAGGGAGCATTTTAGCCAGCCGGGAAAGTGGTTCTTCTCCTTGAGCTGGTCTCAGGAGGATGAGGGAAAAGGTTTGCTTCAGGTGCTTTTAAGGGGTTCTGTGGGAGGATCCTGGGGAACTTGGCCATTGTGTGTGAAGTTTAGGCTGCAGGGTTCAGGCATCCTGTGAAGGGGAATGAGATGGTATACAGACAAACATTTGAGGGGTATGGGCATGGAAAAGAATGAAGGGCTTTATGGAATGGACTTAGGGACTGCAGTTAGCACAGGGAGGACTACCTGTGGGAATATCTAGGGAGAGCTCCCTTTCTCTGCAAGTGTACCAGAGCCCCAGGAGCCCCAGACTCCATTCTGAGCTGTAAGGACAGCTGGAAGGGGGTGCAGGAGGAAGAAGTATGGGGCCCGCCTTTACTCTGGGTCTCTATCCTTCCCTCCTTACTATTGATCACAAAGCTGTGCTCCCTGTTCTGGAAAGGAAAAGCATTCAAGTTATAGAAGCTTCTAGAAATCCTCTCTTTTAGCTAGGCTTGGTAATACAGGCTTGTGATCTCAGCTACTTGGCAGGCTGAGGAAGGATGATCAAAATTCCAGGACCTGTCTGGGCTACAGGGTATGAGTTCAAGGCCAGCCTAGGCAACTTAGTAAGACTCTGCCTCAAAATAAAAAGTAAAAAGAGGACTGAGGATATAGCTCAGTGGTAGAGGGCTTACCTAGCATGCATGAGACCCTGAGCTCAATCCTCAGTCCTTAAATTAAGTGGCCTCTCCCTTGGATAACAGTCTTAAGATACTGTAGAGGCTTGTAGACAGGCTAAGCCTGGCCCTGAAACCTGGGGAGATTGGGTCATTTGCTTCAGTTTCACATTACCATTCTGGCAGGGAAACAGCTTGTGGACTTTATCCCATTTCAGATGGTCCCCACCTCAAAGCCTTGCTCCCAGCATTAATAGCAGTGAATATTCAGACAATCTCCTGCTTTTGAGAGAAGCCAAGTTAAACCTATTAGTCATCAGCAAGGAAAACAATATATAGGTCTAGCTTTGTCCTGGGTTGTGTGTGGGACCAGTAGATAGAAATATCTGGGCATGGAGCTGGAGAGATGGCTCAGCGGTTAAGAGCACTGACTGCTCTTGCAGAGGACCCGGGTTCGATTCCCAGCACCCACAAGGTGGCTACGAGCCATCCTTAACTCAGTTCCAGGGGAATCCAAAGCCCTCTTCAGACCTCTATGGCATTGCATGACACAGGTGTACTCACATACATGCAGGCAATACACTCATACACATAAAATAAAAATATTAAAATAAATGAAAGAAATATCTGGACAGACCTAATGGTCAAATGATGGCCCTTCTTGAGTATACCGCTGGTTCAAGGATCCTGATTGTAGGAGCTGGCTGATGTTAATCTGACCAACAAGATCCAGCCCATTGCTTGGTCTGAGAACTCCACTCCATCCACCATCCAGAACTCAGATCTTGCCCACTAGCAACTGGGTACTACTCAGGGTAGAGACAGCACTTTTTCCAGCTCTGATTTTCAGGCAGGGAGAGGGAATGTCCCATTGGGTAAGATTGGGAGGCAGGTGGGGAAAAGTTGGGGAAGGAGAATGAGCCTTGCTGAAGAGCTGTCTTCCTGCCGGAACCCTGGGGTGGAGGATTAGAAGCATGGGTGGAGGAAGGGAAATAAGACTTATTGATGGCCTCCAGGGCTGGACCAAATTCTGAGTTCTTGTCTAGCTAAAACCATGGCTGTGCTTTGTTACCTGGAAACTTGATACTGCAAACAGGTTCAAGAGACAGTCTCCTAGAAGGCAGAAAAGAAGGCTGGATTTGCTCAGGACCCCAGTCAGATACTAGAATTCTCAAACTGCAGAACCTTTCCTTCGTTGTTTTGTGTTGAAAATCTGGAACAAAACCTACCTTGCCTGTCCTAAATATCAGGATCACGGATTAGGAAGGGTTAGAATTTGAGGAACAAAAACCCTTTTCTAATGGAAGGGGGCACGGAGGTCTGGAATTCTTCACTTCCCTGCCCCAGCCTCTCCAGTGCTGAGATCACAGGCAGATCGGGTCTCTTTTAGGGAATTTTACACAATCTATTTTCTATCTTTACGTCCTAGTCCTGGTGCAACATACCTAGGGCCAAAATGGAAAATGTAGGACCTAGAAAAAGAGGGAGTGTGGAGATCAGAACCACAAACGACAATGGAGTATACAAGTGGCAGGCGGGTCTCAGTGGAAGAGGCAGTAAGAGGCATTGGTTACCCCACACCATTCTGGGGGGCAGAGGCACCCCAATTGCGAGCCTTGGACTGGCCTGGGGAGGGAGAGGGGCGGGGTCGGCGGCGGGGATGGGATGGGGGAAACGAGGCAGTGACGTCAGACCAGGTAGAGCCAATCAGAGGCTGGCCTGAGGAAGGCGTGTGAAAGGATGA